ATTTATAATGAGGCCTCTTAGATCTGAGTTAATTTATATATTGAACAAACAAGTTAGTAAAGAAGTGATCAGAAACAACAATTTTATAATATATTAATAATAAGAATATTGAGAGTTTTTGGTTCCGTGGTGCACTGTACTTCTAGTCCAAGTACTGTACGAGATAGAACCACGATGTCTGGAAGTAAACAATGTTAGTTACCAGTTGGTTCCGCTATAGACACTTCAATGGACACTGGATATAAACTTATAAATGTAATGTTCATTCTAATCCTTTGTTACCTTTGCCAGATGTGAATCATGAATAAAAGAAATGAGCAGAATATCACCACATGTAAAATGAGATTCCTGCACAGAACAGCAAATACATAAATTTCTTGATTTATTTTGAAAGATTCTTATTCCATGCAATTAGAAAAAATGGATTTTAAAACAGAAGCATTGCGAAAGTATGAAAGAAATATATTTTTTAATGAAATATGTTACTATTGATGGAGGTACTTTATTGGTTACTATTGATGGAGATACTTGATTGGTTACTATTGATGTAGGCACTTGATTGGTTACTATTGATGGAGGTACTTGATTGGTTACTATTGATGGAGATACTTGATTGGTTACTATTGATGGAGATACTTGATTGGTTACTATTGATGTAGGCACTTGATTGGTTACTGTTGATGGAGGTACTTGATTGGTTACTATTGATGGAGATACTTGATTGGTTACTATTGATGTAGGCACTTGATTGGTTACTGTTGATGGAGGTACTTTGAATATGCAAATTTTAATGAATAAATACTTTATATCTAGCTTAAAGTTCGTATTGTCCTTGGGCCAGGGCGTTGGCTAATGGTTAACAGGCAGAATGTTAAACAGAGGGCCTTGTGGTGTATCGCCACAAAAATGATAAATCGTGCTCCATATCTTACATAAGAATGCCATTGAAGACATGGTCGAAGTAAAACCAGTTCTACAACATGTAAAAAATCAGAGCCTGTTATTTGGCCACCTAACACGCTTATCCATCTGCCATGACATAAACAGTTACGAATTTCATCCTTACATAACTAGTACAGAATATATCTTCAGAAACACAAGCCACAATATCACAGAACTGAGAGCTTTTACCTCATTTCACTATTGAAAGTTATTTCAAGCTGTACTAAAAAAACCGACAGCACTAGGTGTGATCCTGCCCTCACACATGCTGTCCCTGTTCATGAGAACAAATTGCGCAGTATATAAGTGTGGGACTTTATGCAGGTGATAGGAAATTCCTGTTTGGTCCACACACCTCTCCCTATGTAAATTCATCCCTTCTGTATTCTTCTAGTGGAGTAAAGATAAAACCCTTGACTAGAGGGAAGGCAGCTAGTCATCACCACC